GTCAGTTCCCCGAGCTTTACCAACAGGCTTATCGTCCTCACGTTTATTTTGAAACAGGCTTGCACTGGGTTGACGCCCCGAGCGTACTTTCTCATAAATAAGAACTTGAGACTTCAGTTCTTTTATCGAACTAGCTTGATATAAATTAGCCTTATTTGACCTGGAGTCAGGGATTCCCTCAACAAAATACTCGATAAGACTTTTATCGTCCAGATCTATCGGCCTACCTATTTCCATAAGGCTATGGTACTCACGGTAATCTTCGTTAGGGCGCTTGCGCCTATTTCTAAGGGCACGGTGCACCTCGATAGATGATGCTATAACACCAAACTCTTTTTTCAAACTCTCTCTAAGCAAACCCCAAGAAGAAATGCCGCGTTGACTGCGAACAAAAATTTTAGCCGCCCCCTTCAATAATTGCTTACTATAGATACATTTCTGTAAATCGCCCCACTGCACTGCTGTGGCGTTGGCCTCAAAGTCGTCGAGCCATTCTTCCACTGTGGGCTGTCCCGTACAACTAAACGTCGAAAGCGATCCCTCAATATCTCGTAAAGTGAAAACTGGACGCCCCACACCCGCCACCGCTACCACGCTACTTTGCGCGGAATCGCTATCTCTGACAGAGCCATCATCGTCGCCTATAGTGAGGCCGAAGTGCTCGCACAATCTGTCCTGTAGTGTAGATTTCCGTCCGTTTGTCGATAGTCCCAATTCCCCCAGTTTTTCTTTTAAACCGTTCACTGTTAGTGCAAAAATTTGTTCCCTGTCCATGTCAAATGCAAATATACAGTGTTCAATGCAATAAAAGTTACAAGTTTATAAAATACTTAAATACTCAATTTAAAGGATTATGTTAAGTCGGTGTTCAAAAATTCAACCACACCAGGCTTTACAACGTGTTACTATGCTAATCAATAAGACGATTAGTTGAAATTAGATATTAATTGCAGTAATTGCTTCAATTTTCACATCAATAGATTCAACCGAAATTCTTACTAGAAATTGCTTTACTTTGATTTGAAATTCGTAAACAAAGTTATACTTTTCTCGCTACTACTTCGTCTGTTTCTTCCTGTTTTGTTTTAACAATTTTCCAATCAGATTTTTATTTGATTTTTATTTCGCAATGTACATATATACTTCTCGCTCTATCTAATTAAACTCATACCTGTTTTTGCTTTTGCAACTTCGTATACTTATGTTAAAACTAGTGTCTTACTCCTTCCGCTTTCTTATTCAATTAACGCACCGACGAGTTGTTTAAAGCTGCTTTATCATCAGTGTTCTCTCTTTTGCTCGTTCTTGATTTCGCCTTTCGCCAAACACAAGTGCATCTGCTCTGCACTGCTTATAATATGTGTACTTCGCGTTATTTCGCCAACCGCTAGTGCATCTGCTCTGCACTGCTAGTAATACACTCACAAGCACATCTACTCTGCCCTTGTTCGTGAATAATCGCCTTCGACTTCGCCTTGGTGTCCAACTGCTAGCGCATCTGCTCTGCGCTGCTCGTAACACAGACACAAGTGCATCTACTCTGCACTACGCGTGGTATAATTGCTTGGCCTGTTTTCGCCAACTGCTAGCGCATCTACTCTGCACTAACCAAACTGTTACCGCGCTCTCTCCCGCTCAAAAAGTCTATCACTTGCACTTTCTGCTGCGCACAATGCTATATAAGCGCGCTCAACGCTGCGCACACTATCACTTGCGCTTTCTGCCGCTCACAATGATATATGAAAGCGCTCTCCGTAGTGCGCACTGACTTTAACTTGCGCTCTTTGCTGTTCACAGACTGCTGTCAACCGTTTATTTTGCTCTTGATGCGATTGACTCGGCGTTTCTAACGGCCTGGGATAGCGGTACTTCTAACAGACGCCACCAGTCACTTCACCAACTGTTAAGTACAGTCACAGGGACTTTAAAAAGTAAAATTTTACGCCACTTCTGGCTACGACACTAATAGTCCACGCTTAAAGGCACTTTTAGTACAGTGGATGCTTCGATTTGCACGAACGATTTTTCCGTCCACTGCTTCACTAGCGTAGCAGTGTTCGTCTGCGCTCTTATTTAGCGCCGAAACTAGTAATTTCGCTTAAGTTTTCCGCGATATTTTGCATAAAGCTATTAGTACCACCCACTTATATATTTGGCGTTTAGTGGTTGCTGCCACTCTTATTGTGCTTTAACACAAATTTACACAACCGCTCGCGCACTCTTGGCAGGATTTGATCCACGCCTGACACCACTTGTAGAATTAGGAGACGAGTCTTTTAGTTTTATTAAATGTTTATTAAAACTTTGTAATTTAGTTGTACATTTATTAGAAATAAGTAATTTAGACTTTAAAATTAATCTTAAGTAATTTTAGATTTTATTCATGTATTTGATGTGTCGCGCGCCGGCTTTTAACTTCAACTGTCCGTTGTTCGCTGTAGCGTCATTGTCCTCGTCTCTTTCGTTCAATTGTCGTTCATCTATTCTTCAACCGTCAGATGAGAGTGGCAGTTTAGGGTTGCCACATATATACCGGTAAAAATGGCACATATATACATATATGAAAGAATACCCACAGGCGACGCCTCTAGCCATTGTGTATCACAATTTTAAGTTATCGATGTAAATTTTTTTAATCCCCCACTTCGCCAAATCCTGGATACGCCACTGCATGGCATTATTTTTTTAAGAAAATGGACCACATGGACACTGAGAACTTATTTGAGGAATCTCCTCTGGCCACATCTACACCGAAGGGAGGAATAAAAAAAAAAATTGCTATCAACTGATTTCAACTCACAATGTAAATTAATATTCAAATTAGTACAAGTACGTATGTTAATTTTTAAATTAATAACTACTTTTAGTATTAAATTCGCAGC